CCGCTGCCGCCGGCGGCTCCGGGGCCGACCAACCCCGGCGCAACCTTTAGCCGGAGACGGACCTCTCCCTGGATCCTGATCCCCCGCTGGCGGTCGCGCGCCCTCGCCCCGACACCCCCAAACGCCATGTCACGGCCCCCAGCCCTCCGCGCTCCCCGACCCCCGCACCCTCAGGCACCGGGATCCTCAAGGAATTTTTTTTTTAAGATTCCAACCTCTCCCACCTCCCCCCCAGCCCCCCATCAAAACCCCGGCATCCACACTACTCCCCTCTTCCCTTCTCTTGCCCCCTCCCCCAGCAGCCCCGAGTGGGGAGGGGAAGGGGGAGGGAAAGGGGAAAAAGCCCGATCTCAAGGAAAAAAAGAGGGGGGGTGAGAGAAAGAAAGAAAAAGAGAGAGAGAATAGAAAGGGCACGGGGCTGATCATCACCAACATGGCTGCCTCGGCATAGACCTAAACGAGGAGTAACCCGGGCTGTGTCTTTGTCAGTTTCACCTCTGTAACCCTAAACTAATGCAGAAAACAACGGAGCAGGCTGCGGAGGGGAAAGAGGAGAGAGAGGGCGAGAAAATGGCACGGGAGGAGGTGGAGAAGGGATGACTTACGTGAGGGAAGGCGCTTGGGCTGCTCCTGCTTCCTCCTGGGCATTTTCCCCCTTTTCTCACATTCTCCTCCTTGGTTAATGTGAGATCAAATAAACCCCCGTGGGGGCAGAGAGGCAGACACTGGCAGGAGCGGGGAGGTAGTTGGGGGACGGGCGGGCGGGCGGGCAGGGGGAAACCCCTTCTCTCCGGTGTGTGCAATGGGTTGAAGCTTGTTTCCTGGAGCCAGAAGAGGGGTTTTCTTCTTTCCTTTCCTTTCTTTTTTCCTTTTTTTTTTTTTAAATTTTGGTCGTGCACCTGGCTTGTCCCCGAGCGTAATATTCTTCAATGGAAACGGATCTAATAGGTGTGAGTGTGTGTGTGTCCTATGCTCGCGTGTGTGAGGAGAGGTATAAATAAATGAGTGCCTGTGCGGCGGTGTCTATGGCCGCTCTCTGTGTCTCCGAGCCCCTAACACTAATGTCGGGATCAAAGGGCAGCGGCGGCGGCAGCACAGCTCACAGCTCGCTCTCTTGCTCGCTCGCTCTCTCTCTTGCTCGCTCTCTCTCCTCTCGCGCTCTCTCTCTGTCACACACACACACTCACACACACAGAGGCACAGACTGAGGGAAAGAGCGAGAGCTAGACACACGCGCGCGCGCACACACGCACACACACACACACACACACACACAGAGCAAAGAGGAAGGTGCCCTAAGGCTCCCAGGGCGGACTCAGCCTCGGATTTACAACCACTCAGTCTGGAAAGAATGGGGGGCGCGCGTGCGGGGGTGGGATGCACTTCTTCGAATTTAGCCCGCAAGTCGCCAAATCTAGGGGGAAAAAAGTTTTTCCCACTCTGAAAACAACTATTCTTTCATTATTTTACTGATTTTTTAAAAAGGAACTAGATTTTTCTCTTAACTTTCTTTTGTTTATTAAGCTACATTTTGTTCTGTATAAAATTCTTCAGGCTTTTGTCACTAAAAGAATTACTCTCTCAGCCCCGTCACCTTTAGTCCAGAGGATACAGCCTCCCACACACTTTCCAAAAACATTTCAATAAAAATAATTTTTAAAAAATAAAAAGATAACACGGTGGAATCAATAACTAGGTGGATGGAATAAGTGCCCAGTATCAGAGGATACAGTGGATTTAAAACTGAAAGATGCTGCCTAAATGAAAATTACAGCTTCTTGACAAAGGGGGAAAATAAGATTAGGTCACCCCCGATGGTAGATGTAACTGCTACATGATCCTCCTACAGTGCACACAGCAAACTTGACTTGTGAAATTTATTCTTTTCCCTGGTATAATGCAGGGATGTGAAGTTTACCCTGAAGCAATTCCAGTGTGCATTATGAATCCAATATAGCAGTTTTCATTAACTGATACATACTTTCATTACTTTACAAATGACACATCTTTCTTCAAAGAGAGACATAAAGGGGAAAAATAGAAAAGGACGGGTCTCACTCTAGCACAAAAGGTACTTGGTGAAAGAGGACTGTTCTCTTTGTGACTTGCAGTCATTTGGATAAAAGTTCACTCAGAGGTTGTTAATGATTTAAACTCCAAAATCTGCTACGATAATTGAAGTAAAAATGGTCTGAAGAAGAGTTGTTTCATGAAACTCTTTGTAAAAGGAAACTTTGAACTTAGTAGAATACATTATATGTCATGAGTCAGATGTAGC